ATTGCGGAATATAACTTCGAGGTGAAGTATAAGGCGGGAGAGCAGAATGCTTGGCTGATGCGTTGTTACGCAGACCAGACGATGAGCTTGCTCATTTTACAACTGTAACGTCGTCTTTGACAGATTTGATCCGCACCGCGTATGCGCCACGCGCATGTGAAGGGCCGTGCCCATGACGCCTTAGACTCTGTCCGACCACGCCATCAATGGCATGCAGCAACTGCTTCGCAACGAGATCAGTGCTCAGTGCTTTACTTGCCATTTCACGCGCATCACGGGGGCCTTGCCCTCGATGCCTCAGCCCTTGGCCGATCATGTCACGCATGACATGCAGCGACTGCTTCGATACTCAAGCAGCACTCAGTGGTTTACGTGCCACTTTACGTGCATCACGGGGGCCTCGCCCTCGATGTTTCGGCCCTTGGCCGAACATGTCACGCATGACTTACAGCGACTTCTCCGAAACTTGAGCAGCGCTCAGTGGGTTACGTGCTACTCCACTATCGGCCCGCGATAAATGCTCAGACTCCTGTCCTACACACCGTTGGTGTCTACCGACTCGGACATTCCAATATCCAGCACGTTGACCGTCTCGGTCCAGCGCTCTCACCAATAGCGCTTTTGTCTCGTAGCAGAGGTGGATTCATGACTCACCAAAGCTCCACCAGGAGGCGTGCGCGTAGCGTCCAAAGCCTTTGACCTCCAACCAATCCATGGCTCATGGGGTTCCAACCATGACATTCCTACGATGATGTCATACCTTGCATCCAAGTCTAAGACTAGACAGCGTTTCACGCTAACTAAGTCAAGAAAATTGACTCCGAAGTCCACAGGGACCTTCGGGACCGTGACACGTGTCCCCGTCGCTAGGCGAACAGTGACGATGTCACCCAACCGCGCTTTCAGCGCCTCAGCATACAGCTGACTTTCATCCATCGTGGTGCGTCGAGCATAATTGCCCGCGCCCCGGAATCGAAGAGAATCCATGGCTTCTCGAAGCCCTTTACGGTCGCCTCCACGACCTTGCATACACGTTCCGTGTTAAGAAGCACGGAGCTTTTCGGGGCTGGGACCTGTTGATCTCTACCTCCCTGAGGCTTAGCAGCACTCAGTTCTTCTCCAGTAGGTCGTCCCGCGTCTCTGGTGGTGTCGTTTCCCCGCGACGAACCAGACTGGTAGGCGTTAGGGCGATGGTTCGAAGAACCTTGACGCGCCTTGCGCAGGGGGCAACCATTCCAAAGGTGACGGGTGTCTTCACAGACAAACACCGTCGTGTGTTCGTGTGCTGCCTGACAGCTTGGAGATCTGCTCCCTCGTCCTCAGCATAGCTGAGATCTATGGGTACAGGCCCGCTCGACGAGCTGTTGGAGTGTGCATTCCAACCAATTTGTGCCGGCTTGAAATTGAATCCTGCATTCAATGCCACATTCACCGCCTCTTCAAATGAAGATGGCTGCACACGGAAGACTTTTATTCTGGCCACGCCAGTGCGGAGGCCTTCCATAAAGTTGGTCACTGTGACCGCCTCCGGAAGGGGATCTGCTGCCGTCCCGGCAATGAGAGTGTGC